CTACAGCTATTTTACGCAGTCATCATATGCCTATGAACCAGAGTAATACTGTTAGCACTGAGGTGGTGTGCCCTAGTAGGAAGTCCACTCAGCAACAAACGCTGACACTACACATCCAAGTATATCTGACCAAATTATGAAAGACAAGCATTGTAATTTAGAATTATTATTGTCGATCAACAATGACAAGCCACCGGGGTCTGACAACTTGGATGGAAAATTACTGAGGATAATAGCGGACAATATTGCCACTCCTATTTGCCATATCTTCAATTTAAGCCTACTAGAAAGTGTGTGCCCTCAGGCCTGGAGGGAAGCAAAAGTGACATGTTGAATGCACCGAGCTGTTTGTTTGAACTACTTGCACACAGCTCGGACACCCATGCATACCCCACAAGACATGCCACCAGAGGTATCTTCACAGTCCCCAAGTCAAGAACAGACTATGGGAGTACTACATAGAGCCATGACTACATGGAACTCTATTCCACATCAAGTAACTCATGCCAGCAGTAAAATTAGATTTAAAAAACTGATAAAAATACACCTTATGAAACAGCAGGGACTGTGAAGCAACACAAACATAGACACATGCTTACAAACACACGATAACATACGCACTATACACACGTACACACATGTATTTTGTGTTATAGATATGTGGTAGTAGAGTAGAGGCCTGAGGGCACACACTTAATATGTTATGAAATCTGTTATGAATGTATTGTAATGTTTTTAAAATGTATAACTGCCTTAATTTTGCTGGACCCCAGGAAGAGTAGCTGCTGCCTTGGCAGCAGCTAATGGGGATCCATAATAAATACAAATACTCAGTCATAACAGACTTTATATGGGCAAATACAATTCATAGAATAAAAAGGAAAGTTTTACATCTTCCTAAGTCTGAGGGTGGTTTTAACCATCCAGACTTGGAATTGTATCAACTCGCTACCCAAGGCTTTTACTTGCGACATATAGTTAAATACACTAAAGAGGAACAATGGGTACATATCGAAGACGCGCATGCTCATCCCCAGAATATTTTGATGTGTCTATTTTCTAAGGATAAAGCTAAGAACATTAACAACTTCATAGTTAAGAACACTATAAAAATATGGAAGAAAATGGTCCACATGGAAAACTAAAGGCATAGAAAATGTAAATTACTCGGTAACAGGAAATATATTTATTTCCATGACAGAATTAAAAAGTAATTTTGGACTGACCAATATACTGTAGATATAGATAGTTTCAAATACATGCAACTAAAAGTTACAAAACACACAACATGTCGATTTGAAATCTTTTGGACATCAGAGCAACTCAAATCTTATTTGAGTCAGAAAATGATGTTCATATGATTGGGAAGATATACAAAACCTTGCAGAGAAAAAATATAAACTATTGGAACCAAGACTTCAAAAGAACTGATGTTGGCACAAGATGGAGGGAATGTTGGAACATAACTAACGACATTACAGATAAAGAAAATGTATGCTTAATCCAGCATAAACTAATGTATAGAATGTATTATACAAGAGACACAATTCATAAATTCTACAGCACAACGGCAGCGTCATGTCTTAAGTGTAAAACTAACAATGACTCAATAATCCATGCTTTCTAGGAATGCTATAAAGTCCAGAAGTTGTGGGCGGAGCTAGAAAGTATTACAATGTCAACTTACTTTTAATCTGTCTGTCTGCATATTTCAAGACATGGCATATGGGGTGTAGTGAGATATTTAATGGGTTGGACGATTCTCTTCTCATCACTCATCTTGAAAAAAATTATACTAAAAACGTGGAAATCAATCAATCCGCCATCATTAACCCAATGAACAAATCAAATGATTTAAATATTGAAAGTGCGTGGGCTACGGAGAGAAACAAAATGCAGTTTGAGGCCATGTGGCGGAGAGTGATGCGGGCGCTGGAGATGGGGGGGGTGTGCTAGTGGGTCTGGGCAGGTGTGATGTAGTTGATGTTTTTATGATGTTGTCGTTTGTATGTGTATGTCTTGTATTGTTTATAAAATATCAAATGAAAAGGGCCTCCCGAGTGGCGCAGCGGTCTAAGGCACTGCAGACCCGGGTTCGATCCTGGGCTGTATCACAACCGGCCGTGATCGGACGGCGCACAATTGGCCCAGCGTCGTCTGGGTTAAGGGAGGGTTTGGCCGGGGGGGGGGGGGCTTTACTTGGCTCATCGCGCTCTAGCGATTCCTTGTGGCGGGCCAGGCACCTGCAGGCTGACCTCGTCGTCAGTTGAACAGTGTTTCCTCCGACACATTGGTGCGGGTCATGTTTTGGAGGACGCATGACTCGACCTTTGCCTCCCGAGCCTGTTGGGGAGTTGCAGCGATGAGACAAGACCTGGTGAGGTCAGGGAGTTTCAGATGTGTGTTGTTGATTGAAATGCAGTGAGATTAGTTTAGGAGACCTACAGTAATAACCAAAAGCACACAAAACATATTCCCCGTTGTGTAATTACATATCATCAACATCAAATGTTTTCCCATAAGGAAACAGACATCTAGTAGAACTCTTGGTCAGCCATGGTGATTGATTTTATGTACTGTAGGTTAGTATGTACGGATGACTGTAAGTCACTTTGAATAAAAGCCTCTGCTAAATTGCATATATTATTAGTCAGCCATAGCTGATGTTAACTTAGGATCCAGATCTGGTTCCAAGATGGTCTGGTCTGAGCCAGACCTCCCGAGACAAATACACCCAAGACCTCTGAACTCCTACCTCCCCATTACTGAGCCTACAAACATGCCAAACATATCCTCCCCTTCTTTTAAAGCAACAGCACTTTGTGATGCAACAGCACAGTAAATCTAAGCCATGCGTTTACTGAAAACAGTTACAGTCGTTAAAAGTAGAAAGAAATGTTAAGAGACATGTACTTATCACTCTGGTATGGGTTACATAGCTTGACGTGAATTCCTGTGTTTTGTTTAACCTGAGTCTAAAGTATTGTTCCACCCTGTGCTACAGTTTTAAGGGTTATTATTTGGCTGTGTGCTTATTTTTTTTATATGGAGAGAGAGAGATGCCAATTAAACAATTTGAATTTGAGAGAGAGAGAGAAAGAGGGAGAAAGAGGGAGAGATAGAGAGACAATGAGAGCGAGACAGAGAGAGAGAGAGAGAAAGAAGAAGAAAAAGACTATAGAAATAAAGAGAGAAGAAAAGAAATAAAGAAGAGAGAGAGAGAGAGAGATAGGAGTAGATCGAGAGTAGAGAGTAGAGAAGAGAGAGAGAGAGACAGAGAAGATGAGAGAGAGGGATATATGAGAGAGAGAGAGAGAGAGAGAGAGCTATAGAAGAGAGAGAGAGAGAGAGACAATGAGAGAGAGAAAGAGAGAGAGAGAGACTGAGAGAGAGCGAGAGAGAGACAGAGGCAGAGCGAGAGAGAGACAGCGAGAGAGAGAGGGGGACAGAGAGGCCTTCAGGTGAACTAGAGAAGCCAAAGTGTTTAAGATAGCATCTGTAAACCAGGCAGGCCTCCTCACAGACAGACAGACAGACAGACAGACAGGACAGACAGACAGACAGACAGACAGACGAGGAGAGCCGTGTTAATGGGAGTATACGTACCAGACCTCCAGGGCCATCTCTAAGTATACATTGGTTGCCTGTCAAAACAACACAAAGACGCTGTGGTTATTGTAGAAGACAAAACATTGATTAATCTGTCAACAGCCTGGGTTAAAACAAAACAAGAAATGAATCTGTCAACTGCAAAACACCCTGGGATAGAATACACCATCCACACGGAGAGGGAGGAGGGATGAGAGGGAGGAGGGGTGAGAGGAGGAGGGATGAGAGGGAGGAGGGGTGAGAGGGAGGAGGGGTGAGAGGAGGGGGGATGAGAGGGGAGGAGGGATGAGAGGAGGACGGGATGAGCATGGGAGGGAGGGGGGTTGAGGAGGAGGAGGGAATGAGAGGGGGAGGGATGAGAGGAGGAGGGATTGACAGGGAGGAGGGGTTGGAGAGGGGAGGAGGGTGCGTGAGAGGAGGAGGGGATGAGATGAGGGGAGGAGGGGTGAGCGGGGAGGACGGGGTGAGAGGAGGAGGGAGGATGAGAGGGAGGGAGGGATGCGAGGAGGAGGGCTGAGAGGGAGGAGGGATGAGAGGAGGAGGGGTGGTGAGAGGGGAGGGAATGAGAGGAGGAGGGAATGAGAGGGAGGGAGGGATGAGAGGGAGGGGGTGAGAGGAGGAGGGATGAGAGGGGGGAGTAGGGATGAGAGGGAGGAGGGGGATGGAGGGGAGGAGGGGGGTGAGAGGAGGACGGATGATGACGGGCAGGAGGGGTTGAGAGGGAGGAGGGATGAGAGGGAGGGAGGGGTGAGAGGAGGAGGGGTGAGAGGAGGAGGGATGAGAGGGAGGAGGGATGAGAGGAGGAGGGGTGAGAGGGAGGAGGGATGAGAGGGAGGAGGGATGAGAGGGAGGAGGGATGAGAGGGAGGAGGGGTGAGAGGAGGAGGGATGAGAGGGAGGAGGGGTGGGAGAGGGAGGAGGGGTGAGAGGAGGAGGGGTGAGGAGAGGAGGAGGGATGAGAGGGAGGAGGGGTGAGAGGAGGAGGGATGAGAGGGAGGAGGGGGTGAGAGGGAGGAGGGGTGAGAGGGAGGAGGGGTGAGAGGGAGGAGGGGTGAGAGGGAGGAGGGGTGAGAGGAGGAGGGATGAGAGGGAGGAGGGATGAGAGGGAGGAGGGATGAGAGGGAGGAGGGGTGAGAGGAGAGAAGGGGGAGAGACGCAAGTGGGTAGGCTATAGTAAGGAAGAGGGGGAGTGAATAGATAAAGGGTGAGAAAAAAAGAAAAGAGAGGAAAACCTCAGTCTCATAGACAAGTCATCACTCAACACACAACTACACTCTGCTGAGAGCTAACGTCTTTCAGGCACACTTTTCCTTTAGGTTAATGTAGTTACTACAGACAGACAGACAGTATAGTTATTATTATTATAGTTATAGTTTATTATTATTTACTTACTTTGCCGATAAGAAAAGGCACTGTCTCAGTCTGACCAGTTTTCAACATTTTGGAGACGTTGTACGACGTAGTCCCAAGTTTCTCGTCCATCACGTAATTGGCGTCCATTAACGTTATCTGATTGAGTAGTACAGCACCAACAAACAAGCTTCAGGCAACTAGCTTCAAGCTTCAGGCAACTAGCTTCAAGCTTCAGGCAATCACTGTACTGTACTGTACTTTTACGGCTTGGACTGGGCCTGACATAAAATGAGTTACATTTGACTGTTTTGATTTTACTATACTTTTTGTTCACCTCTAGAAGGTTCTCCTGGTTTGGGTCTAGTATGAAGTCAAAGGTTTCGTTCCATTCAGGGTTGATGTCGTTGTCTATGTGGCGCGTTCGTTTCCTGCTCTCGGGGGAAGTTGGGATGAACAGCTCCACATAGGGGTCAGGAGTGTCCACTGCAGACACAAACACACAAATGTATGTGTTACATACAGTGCATTGCAAAGGTATTCATCCCCCTTGGCATTTTTCCTATTTTGTTGCATTACAACCTGTAATTTAAATGGATTTTTATTTGGATTTCATTTAATGGACATGCACAAAATAGTGCAAATTGGTGAAGTGAAATGAAAAAAATAACTTGTTTCAAAAAATTCAAAAAAATAAATAACGGAAAAGTGGTGCGTGCATATGTATTCACCCCCTTTGCTATGAAGCCCCTAAATAAGATTTGGTGCAACCAATTACCTTCAGATGTCACATAATTAGTTAAATAAAGTCCACCTGTGTGCAATCTAACTGTCACATGATCTCAGTATATATACACCTGTTCTGAAAGGCCCCAGAGTCTGCAACACCACTAAGCAAGGGGCACCACCAAGCAAGCTGCACCATGAAGACCAAGGAGCTCTCCAAACAGGTCAGGGACAAAGTTGTGGAGAAGTACAGATCAGGGTTGTGTTATAAAAAAATATCCAACACTTATATCCATCCCACGGAGCACCATTAAATCCATTGTTAAAAAATTGAAAGAATATGGCACCACAACAAACCTGCCAAGAGAGGGCCACCCACCAAAACTCACGGACCAGGCAAGGAGGGCAGTAATCAGAGAGGCAACAAAGAGACCAAAGATAACCCCGAAGGAGCTACAAAGCTCCACAGCGGAGATGGGAGTATCTGTCCATAGGACCACTTTAAGCCGTACACTCCACAGAGCTGGGCTTTACGGAAGAGTGGCCAGAAAAAAGCCATTGCTTAAAGAAAATATTAAGCAAACACGTTTGGTGTTCGCCAAAAGCCATGTGGGAGACTCCCCAAACATATGGAAGAAGGTACTCTGGTCAGATGAGACTAAAATTGAGCTTTTTGGCCATAATGGAAAAACGCTATGTCTGCCGCAAACCCAGCACCTCTCATCACCCCGAGAACACCATCCCCATAGTGAAGCATGGTGGTGGCAGCATCATGCTGTGGGGATGTTTTCCATCGGCAGGGACTGGGAAACTGGTCAGAATTGAAGGAATGATGGATGGCGCTAAATACAGGGAAATTCTTGAGTGAAATCTGTTTCAGTCTTCCAGAGATTTGAGACTGGGACGGCGGTTCACCTTCCAGTAGGACAATGACCCTAAGCATACTGCTAAAGCAACACTGGAGTGGTTTAAGGGGAAACATTGAAATGCCCAGACCTCAATCCAATTGAGAATCTGTGGTATGACTTAAAGATTGCTGTACACCAGCGGAACCCATCCAACTTGAAGGAGCTGGAGTAGTTTTGCCTTGAAGAATGGGCAAAAATCCCAGTGGCTAGATGTGCCCAGCTTATAGAGACATACCCCAAGAGACTTGCAGCTGTAATTGCTGCAAAAGGTGGCTCTACAATGTATTGACTTTGGGGGGGTGAATAATTATGCACGCTCAAGTTCTGTTTTTTGTCTTATTTCTTGTTTGTTTAACAAACAACAACAAAAATGGCATCTTCAAAGTGGTAGGCATGTTGTGTAAATCAAATGATACAAACCCCCAAAAAATCCATTTTAATTCCAGGTTGTAATGCAACAAAATAGGAAAAATGCCAAGGGGGGTGAATACTTTCGCAAGCCACTGTATAAATGTACATTGAGTGATATAAACATACATATAAATACATAGATGACAATACAATGTTAAGACTTTAACAATATCGCTATTACTTGGCAGCATTCCATTTCACGACAAAACATTAATTCTTAGTTTTTACAGAAATGACAACTCCCTGTGGTGTGTTTTTTATGTTGGAGAATTCGTGATTGTTAATGTGTGAACTAGGAGCATGTGGAAGAACAGGTGTTGTCAGACTCACACAGGTCACCCAGTGCTCCCTTCGTGACATTCTCAGCTCGAACCACCTTCACTCTGAACTTGTGAGAGAACTGCTGCTCCACCTGCACAGAAACACCACACGGACACATAACAAGCACAGTCTGTTAGCCAGGACACACTCCTCACAGAAACACCACACGGACACATAACAAGCACCGTCTGTTAGCCAGGACACACTCCTCAACAGAAACACCACACAAACACATAACAAGCACAGTCTGTTAGCCAGGACACACTCCTCACAGAAACACCACACAACACAAACAAGCACAGTCTGTTAGCCAGGACACACTCCTCACAGAAACACCACACAACAACCATAACAAGCACAGTCTGTTAGCCAGGACACACTCCTCACAGAAACACCACACAAACATAACAAGCACAGTCGTTAGCCAGGACACACTCCTCACAGAAACACCACACGGACACATAACAAGCACAGTCTGTTAGCAGGACACACTCCTCACAGAAACACCACACAACACATAACAAGCACAGTCTGTTAGCCAGGACACACTCCTCACAGAAACACCACACAACACATAACAAGCACAGTCTGTTAGCCAGGACACACTCCTCACAGAAACACCACACAACACATAACAAGCACAGTCTGTTAGCCAGGACACACTCCTCACAGAACACCACACAACACATAACAAGCACAGTCTGTTAGCCAGGACACACTCCTCACAGAAACACCACACAACACATAACAAGCACAGTCTGTTAGCCAGGACACACTCCTCACAGAAACACCACACAACACATAACAAGCACAGTCTGTTAGCCAGGACACACTCCTCACAGAAACACCACACAAACACATAACAAGCACAGTCTGTTAGCCAGGACACACTCCTCACAGAAACACCACACGGACACATAACAAGCACAGTCTGTTAGCCAGGACACACTCCTCACAGAAACACCACACAACACATAACAAGCACAGTCTGTTAGCCAGGACACACTCCTCACAGAAACACCACACAAACACATAACAAGCACAGTCTGTTAGCCAGGACACACTCCTCACAGAAAACACCACACAACACATAACAAGCACAGTCTGTTAGCCAGGGCACACTCCTCACAGAACACCCACAAAAAACAAGCACGTCTGTTGCCAGACACACTCCCAAGAAACACCACAAACAATCCCCCAGTCTGTTAGCCAGGACACCTCCTCACAGAAAAACCACTAACAAGCACAGCTTTGCCAGGACCACCCTCACGAAAAACACCACATAACAAGCACAGTCTTTGCCCGGACCACACTCCCCACGAAAACCACAAACCCATAACAAGCACAGTTGACCAGGACACATCCTACGAAACACCACACAAAACATAACAAGGGCCCCCCCTCTGTTGCCAGGGGCCCCACTCCTCCAGAAAAACCACACAAAATAAAAGCACAGGCTGTTAGCAGGAACACTCCTCACAGAAACACCCCAAAAACATCCAAACAGTTGTTAGCCCGGACACCTCCCACAGAAAACCCACAACACAAACAAAACACAGTCTTTGCCAGGACACACTCCTCACAGAAACCCACACCCCCATAACGCACAGTCGTTAGCCGGACACACTCCTCACAAAAAAAAACACCCACAAACATAACAAGCACGTCTGTTTGCCAGGACACTCTCACAGAAACACCCACAAACAAATTTTAAAGCACGTTTAGCCGGACCACTCCTCACGAAAAAACCACACAAAAACATAACAAACACGTCTGTTTGCCAGGACACACTCCCCACAGAAAACACCACACAACACATAACAAGCACAGTCTGTTAGCCAGGACACACTCCTCACAGAAACACCACACAACACATAACAAGCACAGTCTGTTAGCCAGGACACACTCCTCACAGAAACACCACACACACACATAACAGCACAGTCTGTTAGCCAGGACACACTCCTCACAGAAACACCACACAACAACATAACAAGCACAGTCTGTTAGCCAGGACACACTCCTCACAGAAACACCACACAACACATAACAAGCACAGTCTGTTAGCCAGGACACACTCCTCACACAGAAACACCACACAACACATAACAAGCACAGTCTGTTAGCCAGGACACACTCCTCACAGAAACACCACACAACACATAACAAGCACAGTCTGTTAGCCAGGACACACTCCTCACAGAAAACACACACAACACATAACAAGCACAGTCTGTTAGCCAGGACACACTCCTCACAGAAACACCACACAACACATAACAAGCACAGTCTGTAGCCAGGACACACTCCTCACAAAACCAAACAACACATAACAAGCATAGTCTGTTAGCCTGGACACACTCCTCACAGAAACCCACACAACACATAACAAGCACAGTCTGTTAGCCAGGACACACTCCTCACAGAAACACCACACACACATAACAAGCACAGTCTGTTAGCCAGGACACACTCCTCACAGAAACACCACACAACACATAACAAGCATAGTCTGTTAGCCAGGACACACTCCTCACAGAAAAACACACACAACACATAACAAGCACAGTCTGTTAGCCAGGACACACTCCTCACAGAAACACCACACGGACACATAACAAGCACAGTCTGTTAGCCAGGACACACTCCTCACAGAAACCACCACACAACACATAACAAGCATAGTCTGTTAGCCTGGACACACTCCTCACAAGAAACACCACACAACACATAACAAGCACAGTCCTGTTAGCCAGGACACACTCCTCACAGAAACACCACACAACACATAACAAGCACAGTCTGTTAGCCAGGACACACTCCTCACAGAAACACCACACAACACATAACAAGCCACAGTCTGTTAGCCAGGACACACTCCTCACAGAAACACCACACAACACATAACAAGCACAGTCTGTTAGCCAGGACACACTCCTCACAGAAACACCACACAACACATAACAAGCACAGTCTGTTAGCCAGGACACACTCCTCACAGAAACACCACACAACACATAACAAGCACAGTCTGTTAGCCAGGACACACTCCTCACAGAAAACCACACACACATAACAAGCACAGTCTGTTAGCCAGGACACACTCCTCACAGAAAACACCACACAACACATAACAAGCACAGTCTGTTAGCCAGGACACACTCCTCACAGAAACACCACACAACACATAACAAGCACAGTCTGTTAGCCAGGACACACTCCTCACAGAAACACCCACACAACACATAACAAGCACAGTCTGTTAGCCAGGACACACTCCTCACAGAAACACCACACACAAACAAGGGCACCTTAACAAGCACAGTCTGTTAGCCAGGACACACTCCTCACAGAAAACACCACACAACACAAAACAAGCACAGTCTGTTAGCCTGGACACACTCCTCACAGAAACACCACACAACACATAACAAGCACAGTCTGTTAGCCAGGACACACTCCTCACAGAAACACCACACAACACATAACAAGCACAGTCTGTTAGCCAGGACAAACTCCTCACAGAAACACCACACAACACATAACAAGCACAGTCTGTTAGCCAGGACACACTCCTCACAGAAACACCACACAACACATAACAAGCACAGTCTGTTAGCCAGGACACACTCCTCACAGAAACACCACACACCACATAACAAGCACAGTCTGTTAGCCAGGACACACTCCTCACACATGCACAAATCTACCACACTTGAACTCCAACATAGAACTACTTAGGTACAGTGTGTACAATTTCAACTGTGATTTTTGTCCAAACCTGGGCTGAAGATACACTCCTGTGATACAAGAGGTGTCAAAGTGTCACTATGCTAACCTGTGTCTCGTGAGTCCTATCCCTTCTCTTACTATGAACGATTATCAGATCCCTTTCTCTAACTATGGGGCAGACAATTGTCTTTTTGTTGTTTTGTTGTTGTTTTAGGTTAATCTGTCAGACAGTCATTTGTTGACGGAAGGTATGATGATGTCATTGTGTCTTATCACCATTCCCCTGGTAGTGAATCTGCAGATCTGCTAGTCTCCACTACAGAATAACAGTGATTGGTGAGGCTCCGCAGCAGACACAGACAGTGGAATATCTCCAAGTCAAGCCAGCAGGGCACCTTTGTAGTGGGGTAATATTTGATATGTGTATATTATATTTACCTCACATGCGACCCGTGATAAGAATAAGACTATGCAATTAGCCCTTTAAAATGTTTACCTGACTCCATAAAGATTATTAAAATATGCAAGAGACTATTCACCCTCAGGAGACTGAAAAGATTTGGCATGGGTCCCCAGATCCTCAAAAAGTTATACAGCTGCACCATCGAGAGCATCCTGACTGGTTGCATCACCGCCTGGCATGGCAACTGCTCGGCATCCGACTGTAAGGTGCTACAAGAGGGTATTGCGTACAGCCCAGTACATCCCTGGGGCCAAGCTTCCTACCATCCATGACCTCTATACTAGGCTGTGTCAGAGGAAGGCCCAAAAAATTGTCATAGACTCCAGCCACCACAGTCATAGACTGTTCTCTCTGTTACCGCATGGCAAGCGGTACCGGCGCACCAAGTCTAGGTCCAAAAAGCTTCTTAACAGCTTCTACCCCCAAGCCATAAGACTACTGAACAATTAATAAAATGGCTACCCGGACTATTTGCATTGACTAGCCCAAGTACCTCAATTACCTCGACTAACCTGTACCCCGCACCTTGACTCGGTACTAGTACCCTGTATATAGCCTCGTTATTGTTATTTCATTGTGTAACTTTTTTGACTTTCGTTTATTCAGTAAATATTTTCTTAACTCTTATTTTTCTTAAAACTGCATTGTTGGTTAAGGGCTTGTAAGTAAGCATTTCACGGTAAGGTCTACACCTGTGTTATTCGGCCCATGGGACAAATTAAATTTGATTTGATTTAGTTGAATTACAGTAACAGGCAATCACGAAATGTCTGAGAATGGTATTCCAAATACAAGTGTATTTAATTACTTTGTAAAATGAATGGATACATTATACAAGGTATAAACTTAAGTTACAAAGCATTAACAAGCATTACAAGGCATTATTCAAAGCATGATCAGAGAGAGAGAGTGATGTCACGACCTGAAAGGCCATGCCCCAAGAGTCCCTGGGGTGGAGAGAGAAAGAGAAAGTGTAGGTATCTCACCAGCGCAGGTCAGGAACAAAATAGAAAGAGACAATGAATCTGACCCTTTATAACATCTGACCATGTGTAGATTCATAATATGAGTTGTTGACCAATAGCGTTAATGTTGAGTTAACCTCCAATCAGATGTCAGACCTACAGGAAGTAAAGACAACTGAACCTCTGCTACCCAGAGGTCTGACAAAACGGGGTTGGTGAGATAACACATAGAATGCTGAATTCCTAAGACAACAGAAAGGAAATCATTGCATACAGTTGATAAGAATCATTTCGAGGACTGGGCCACCCTACACCTTTATCCTATCATGATGACTAATAGGCCTACCCCTAGCCCTGACAGCTGTAGTGAGAACAGAGCTGTAGTGAGAACAGAACTGTAGTGAGAACAGAACTGTAGTGAGAACAGAACTGTAGTGAGAACAGAGCTGTAGTGAGAACAGAACTGTAGTGAGAACAGAGCTGTAGTGAGAACAGAGCTGTAGTGAGAACAGAGCTGTAGTGAGAACAGAGCTGTAGTGAGAACAGAGCTGTAGTGAGAACAGAGCTGTAGTGAGAACAGAGCTGTAGTGAGAACAGAGCTGTAGTGAGAACAGAGCTGTAGTGAGAACAGAGCTGTAGTGAGAACAGAGCTGTAGTGAGAACAGAGCTGTAGTGAGAACAGAGCTGTAGTGAGAACAGAGCTGTAGTGAGAACAGAGCTGTAGTGAGAACAGAGCTGTAGTGAGAACAGAACTGTAGTGAGAACAGAGCTGTAGTGAGAACAGAGCTGTAGTGAGAACAGAGCTGTAGTGAGAACAGAACTGTAGTGAGAACAGAGCTGTAGTGAGAACAGAGCTGTAGTGAGAACAGAGCTGTAGTGAGAACAGAACTGTAGTGAGAACAGAGCTGTAGTGAGAACAGAGCTGTAGTGAGAACAGAGCTGCCCACGTATCTAATGTTGATAGATTGAGACAAAACAAAGATAAGGTTTTCTACTGAAGTAATACTGCTTTGCCAGAAACACTATACGGTCCAATATAGTCTTATCTAGGGTAGTGGGTTCCTTCTCATTACTGGAACAGATGACTCACTGGCCTTAAAGTGAAGTTGTGAGAAGCTGTTTGTTACACTACCAAAAATACCAAGTAAATGTATGCAAAACATGCAGTACAGTAAATACCAAAGAATTTGAATGCAACCGTACACGTGTGGACTTACAATAATGTACTGGTAGGGGTCTATGGAAGACATGGTTTGCTGCTGGGAGAGTTGGTGTCAGCTAGGAAGAGAGTCTCTGTCCAGTCTCCAGATGTGTCCTTGAACTTTAAGAAGATCTTCCAGGGACACTGGGTAGCAGTTACAGACTGAGGACACACAGAGCATCGTAATGTAAGGGATGGTGTGGAAAGACAGATATGACATACGGTAACTTGTGGCAGAGTTAGTGAAACAATAGCTTTGCTTGACAGTTGTTTACTGGACAAGTCCAATGACACATTGATGGTGAGTGAAACAGTTTGAAACAGTGATGATGTAAAATACAAAAAATGCATTGAAATAACTGGTTAGCAGCTACTGCAGTGAGTCTAGGACCAGGGAGAGGGGGTGTGCTAAAGCCATGGGACTGAGATAGGCCTGTGTGTGTGTGTGTGTGTGTGTGTGTGTGTGTGTGTGTGTGTGTGTGTGTGTGTGTGTGTGTGTGTGTGTGTGTGTGTGTGTGTGTGTGTGTGTGTGTGTGTGTGGGTGTGTGTGTGCGTGTATGTGTGTGTGTGCGTGCGTGCGTGCATGTGTGTGTGTGTGCGTGCGTGTGTGAGAGAGATAGAGAGAGGCCTATGTGACTCAACAAAGTGACAGATGCTACCACAGCCTAATAATTTGTGTGTGTGTGTGTGTGTCTCTGTCTGTGTGTATTACTGTAGACCACAAGCCCAGTGTGGCTACAAGGCTCCCCTCAGTTGTTCAATAAAGCATAGCTTTTCTGTGAGGAGTTAATGCACGTAGTGTGGGTTCGCAGTGCTGGGCACGTAGTTTGAATGGATGGTCCAAGTTCTAAATGAGCCCGTTCGGGCTGTGACGTGGTGACCTGCATGTCTTCCATATTTCTGAACGATCCATCCACAAAGCAATAAGAGCTGAGGTGGTTTGGACAGGAACACAGACAGCAGGGCCTGACGCCCTGCCACCACTGAGTGGGATGTTGGTTCTTTAAGTGCCAGGGACATTAAAGAAAGCGGTGCCAATGTGCTTAAATATCTGGTCTCATCATTAAATTAGCACAAAATGAGAATAATTGTTATTCATTCAAAAGTCAATTCAGTGACTGAATTGTGATGTTCCTAAACGCCATGGACTTAGGCATACCTGTAATCAACAGGCTTAATTGCCATTATATTGTAATATGCCATGTTGTAACACTTGTGTTATTACTATGTAATACAATATAAATGCTCTGACTGCATCAAATTAATGTAATAACAAAAGAGAAGGAAAAATAATAACATTTTACACGGCAAGACACAGCAATGAAAACAAATGGTGCACCAATCAACAATATTCTTAATAACCTACATTTGCCAAATATTTTCAGTGGAATTGATAAGTCGATGATGACTTGCATAATGTCTTTCAAATGAGAGTTTAACATGCGCAAGTGTTTAAAAACGTTTTAAAACCAAAATATCTTACTTGCTGATTTAGGCTACCCTACTCTTGTAGAAGTTAACAAAATCATTTAGAAATTATAATAATATATTTCCAGTTCTGATCGACTTTCCACTTACGGAAAGATAATCAAGTCAATACGCTGACTAGACACACCACCGCGCACAGCAATCTCGCAAAGCGCAGTCTCCAAATGATTAAATAGGCTAAGCCAACATACAGAACAGGCTTTACGTGTTTGTACTGTAACAAACATGCAACACAGAGGAATGCCAGTTATTTGTCCACCTACCTTGAGAACAGTATCAGCTCATAAATCCTAGAAAAGATGTCATCACTGGCAGAAGTATGGCTCCACTGTATACGGTATACGAGGAGCCCGAGGAGGTGCTAAACACTGCCTCTCGAAAAACGTACACACCTCTTAGCGGAACTCAACTTTAATCTTTGGTCATTTAGAAAGTAAGAATCTAAACCTGAATTGTGGCGCATGGGTTGTATCAGAGACATTGCTCGTTAACGTGACTTATCTGACCTCAAATGCTTCTCATGAGAGTAGGTTGAATTGCAGAAAATCCCCCAGAGAGAAGTATGATGCAACCTGCGGATGTTTCAATTTATTTTCTACTGAGCCATTTACCTTATCTTCGTATTCTTATATTTTATTATTTATTATTCTTGTTGCATTGTCGAGAAGGAACCTGCAAGTAAGCATTTAGTTGGACGGTGTATACCAATGTTATCCCGTACATACGACTAATACAATAAGAATTGTGAAACTTTGGTATGTACGCAACGCTTCCAGTTTGGTTCTGCCAGCAGCACAAACGATACCGTCATTTTGTATGGTAATGTTAAACCTTCAGATTAAAAGCCCGCATTTCATAACATTGCAATGTCGATGACTCATTCAAAATATATTACATTTTAGTCAATTGCTTTTTTATTGTGCTTATAACTAAATGCAAAAATAAATTAATGAAAACAATGTGAAATATTAATGTATATATATATTTTTTTAAGACCTATATTAATAAAATACAATGTCGACTGGTATGTTCACATTATTGGGTTGTAAAATAAGTATTCTTTATGCCGAGGTAAAAGTGGGTTTGACAATAGTCTACTCAGTAGTGTCTCTTCTAACCACTGCCAATACATTTCTTCTGTTCTGCCTGCGGCTATGGAACCCTGACCTGTTTCACATGATGTGCTACCTTGTCCAAGACCTGCTGTTTCGACTCTCTCTCTCTCCCTCTCTTTCTCTCTCTCTCTCTGTCCCGGACCTGTTGTCTCGACCTCTGAATGCACAGCTATGAAAAGCCAACTGACATTTACTCCTGAGGTGTTGAACTGCTTTACCCTATAACCACTGTGGTTATTATTTCACCCTGCTGGCCATCTTTGAACATCTTGAAGAACAATCTGGCTTTTATGACCATGTACTCTTATAAGTTTCAAGTTTCAAAGTTTATTCACCATGTGCACATGATACAACATTTGTAAAACAGTACAATGAAAATCTGACCTTGAGAACTCTTTCCAACAATGCAGTGATAATAATAATGATAGAAAATAAAAGTAAGAATAAAAACCACACAAGAACCACCCAGCACAGCCAGAAGAGGACTGGCCACCCCTCGGAGCCTGGTTCCTCTCTACCCAGCACAGCCAGAAGAGGACTGGCCACCCCTCGGAGCCTGGTTCCTCTCTACCCAGCACAGCCAGAAGAGGACTGGCCACCCCTCGGAGCCTGATTCCTCTCTACCCAGCACAGCCAGAAGAGGACTGGCCACCCCTCGGAGCCTGGTTCCTCTCTACCCAGCACAGCCAGAAGAGGATTGGCCATACCTCGGAGCCTTCCCATGAAATGTAACCCCCCCCTCCCCCCGCATCCCTAAATATTTAGTGCCCACCCGGCCCCTACCCTGTTATGTTTATGTTGTGCGGTTGGAGTCCGCACCTTTGGGGGGGGGGGGGGGGGGTACTGTCACGCCCTGACTCAGGGGACGCTTATATGTTGAGTCAGGGTGTGTATATTCCTTGTTGTGCTTTGTCTATGTTTAGGATCTAGTATGTCTAGTTCTATGTGTGGTTCCCAATCAGAGGCAGCTGTCGCTCGTTGTCTCTGATTGGGGACATACTTAAGCAGCCTATTGGAACTGTCTAGTTGTGGGATCTTGTTCCGGTTAAGGTATGTTGTGTGTGCTACCTTGGACTTCACGTTTTGTTTCCTTTGTTGTTTTGTCGTGTGTTTAACAGTTAAAATAAACATCACGCTGCGCCTTGGTCTGACCCGTCATTAAACGAACGTGACAGAAGATCCCACCAAACACGGACCAAGCAGCGTGCCCAGGAGCAGCAGACACCCTGGACACAGGTAATGGAGCAGAGATCATGGACTTGGGAGGAGATAAGAGAGGATCTGGCAAAGCATATGGAGGCCCTGAAAGGGATGAGGGAGAAGGAGGTGAGATTAGCCGATAGCGGACCCTGGGCGAAGGAGGAAGCCCAGGCAGGAGAGGTGAAACGGAGACCCGAGAGGCAACCCCAATAACATTTTTTGGGGGGGCACATGGTGTGGACGACGAGGCAGCAGGAGGCCGTTAAAGGGCGGATCTGCAGGTTAGGAGAGGAGGCCACCATGTTACGGGGGCTGTTGGTTCAGAGGGAGCAGGAGTTATTCGGTCAGAGGGAGGCACTACAGGAGGCTAAAAGGGAGAAGGAAAGAGTAGAGGCACGGCGAGAGGAGCTGGTTAGGCAGCAGAAGGAGCAGGGGTTAATAAAGGAACCCAGACCTGCTCCTCGCACCAAGCATGTGGTGCGTGTTCCCAGTACGGCCCGGCCTGTTCCTGCTCCTCGCACCAAGCCAGTGGTGCGCGTCGCCAGCCCGGCCCGGCCCGGCCCTTTCCTGCTCCTCGCACCAAGCCAGTGGTGTGCGTCGCCAGCCCGGCCCGGCCTGTTCCTGCTCCTCGCACCAAGCCAGTGGTGCGCGTCGCCAGCCCGGCCCGGCCTGTTCCTGCTCCTCGCACCAAGCCAGTGCTGCGCGTCGCAGTCCAGTCCGGCCCGTTCCTGTCCCTCGCACCAAGCCAGTGGTGCGTGTTCCTAGTCCGGTTCGGCCCGTGCCTGCTCCTCGCACCAGAGCAGTGGTGCGTTTGTCTAGTCCGGCACGACCCGTGCCCGTTCCACCGGTGCCTGGTCCGGCACCGGTCAGCGGCTCCACTCCAGAGCCAGAGCAGTCCGCTCCACCGGTGCCTGATCCAGCTTCGGTCAGCGACTCCACTCCGGAGCCAGAACAGTCCGCTCCACCGGTGCCCAGTCCAGCTCCGGTCAGCGGCTCCAGTCCAGACCATGACGTCAGCCCCTCTCCAGGTTCGGGGTCTCCCACACCAGGGTCCAGACAGGGCTTGGTACGTCGTGGGAAGGAAGGAGAGGGGAAGCAGCGCGCCGAGGTCCAGACCTGACCAGGGGCGCAACAGGGAGGCGGAGAGTGAAAGGTCGTCACGCCCCGAGCCGGATCCGCCTCCGAGGCGGAATGCCCACCCAGCCCCTACCCTGTTATGTTTATGTTGTGCGGTTGGAGTCCGCACCTTTGGGGGGGGGGGGTACTGTCACGCCCTGACTCAGGGGACGCTTATATGTTGAGTCAGGGTGTGTATATTCCTTGTTGTGCTTTGTCTATGTTTAGGATCTAGTATGTCTAGTTCTATGTGTGGTTCCCAATCAGAGGCAGCTGTCGCTCGTTGTCTCTGATTGGGGACCATACTTAAGCAGCCTATTGGCACTGTCTAGTTGTGGGATCTTGTTCCGGTTAAGGTATGTTGTGTGTGCGCTACCTTGGACTTCACGTTTCGTTTCCTTTGTTGTTTTGTCGTGTGTTTAACAGTTAAAATAAACATGTACGCATATCACGCTGCGCCTTGGTCTGACCCGTCATTAAACGAACGTGACATTGAGACTGGTGTTTTGCGGGTACTATTTAATGAAGCTGCCAGTTGAGGACCAGTGAGGCGTCTGTTTCTCAAACTAGACACTCTAATGTATTTGTCCTCTTGCTCAGTTGTGCACCGGGTTCTTGCACTCCTCTTTCTATTCTGGTTAGAGCCAGTTTGCGCTGTTCTGTGAAGGGAGTAGTACACAGCGTTGTATGAGATCTTCAGTTTCTTGGCAATTTCTCGCATGGAATAGCCTTCATTTCTCAGAACAAGAATAGACTGACGAGTTCCAGAAGAAAGTTATTTGTTTCTGGCCATTTTGAGCCTGTAATCGAACCCACAATTGCTGATGCTCCAGATACTGAACTAGTCTCAAGAAGGCCAGTTTTATTGCTTCTTTAATCAGCACAACAGTTTTCAGCTGTGCTAACATAATTGTAAAAGGGTTTTCTAAAGATCAATTAGCCTTTTAAAATTATAAACTTGGATTAGCAAACACAATGTGCCATTGGAACACAGGACTGATAGTTGCTGATAATGGGCCTATGTAGATATTCCATAAAATATCAGCCGTTTCCAGCTACAATAGCCATTTACAACATTAACAATGTCTACACTCTATTTCTGATCAATTTGATGTTATTTTAATGGACAGAAAAAATGCTTTTCTTATCGAAAACAAGTACATTTCTAAGTGACCCCAAACTTTTGAATGGTAGTGTATATTTATATGTAATTAAACGTGTATTTCTGCAAATATACCCAATAGCTTTCAATATACCCGTATTTGTGTAATCTTTCAAAAGAAATGCTGGAATAAATAATACAATATTAAAAATTAAAGTACATGAAATTATGCATTAATGTTTTCCAAAGTGTCTGCAATGTTGTGGTTGCAACACAGCGTTGGTTCTGCCTTCATCATTTCCTGCTGCTAAGAGAACGGTAAGCCAGTTTTCGTACGCTCTCTCTGATAACAACCCACTATTGTATGATCACTGTAAATAAAATATCTCCACGCGAGGTCGCGCAATGACTGGTTGTTTGCTGGTTGATGCTTAGATGCTGGCTGGTGGTCTGCAAATAAATATTTAGGGATGGGGGGGGGGGGGGGGGGGGGGGGGGATTAGTGTGAATTAAATTTCCGCAAAGCACCCATACCGAGATGGATTTGAAAAGTCTGACAATATATGTAGCCTATAAATTAAATGTGGACATTATTCGTTGACAAATAAAATTATCGTAGTTGAGATTCAGACATTGAAAAGTAAGATTAACATGAGCAACATAATAGACATTTGTTAAATGAAATAATATTAATTGGGCAGAATTCAGCAGTCACATTACTGTAATATATATATTTACACTATATCTTTATGAAACCTGAATAACAAAACATTTGTGGAAATAAATAGGAAATAAATTAAATCAAACACTCCTTTACTATCATTCCATGTAGGGGAGAGTGGGGTAAGTTGAGACATGTTTTACATGCAGCATCACTTTGCCAAGGATAATATAGTATTCTTTCTAACAAATATATCTACATATATTTCAGGATGTTGTGCATCCCTGGAAATCATCAGAATTAATGTAAACATTACAGTGGTCTGTTGGAACAACTTACCCCGGGTATAGGGTATTACTTTGTACAAAAAAAAAAAAAAAAAAACTCAACATAGGACAGGTCTTGGTGTTACCTCATATCCCAGCTATAATACCTTGCATTATGCCTGGGAAGAAAATATTTCAATTTGCTCAACTTGCCATTGGCTCAACCTTTGGCTCAATTTACCCCAAGGCCATTGGCTCAACTTTCCCCAAGGCAAACATTTTGACTATATTAGCCCACACAGCTACAAGGATGAACTTTAATGCTAGGTTTAGGACCTCATACATAGAGACTCCAACTGATGTATAGAACAATCTTTAAATTATCTATTTGTGACCCCTTTCAGGAAACTAGGCGTATGTCGCAAGTCAGGACTTCACAGGAGAGCCATTTTAACGTTGTTGTTTTTTTCGATCAAAATGCGCTTTTTGGCAGAAATGGCTTCTGGAACATGTGAACTTTCATGTGCCAAACTTGTATGACATCTGTAAATACGAATACATTTGTTAAATTACAAGCGTTGTTGGTTAAGCCACAGAAAAAGACTGCAACCATCCCACTAGTCATGATTGGCTGAGATAATGAGTGGGCTGGACATGCAGAGAGGAGTTCGGATTGGTCTGCCGTATAGATGGCTTCTGTCAGTCTGTGTTGGTAATCCTGTCGAAAGCAGCTTTTAATAATAATAATATGCCATTTAGCAGACGCTTTTATCCAAAGTGACTTACAGTCATGCGTGCATATTTTTTTTTGTGTATGGGTGGTCCCGGGGATCGAACCCACTACCTTGGCGTTACAAGCGCCGTGCTCTACCAGCTGAGCTACAGAGGACCACTCTATGTTCCTTTGAGACCCCTCTTTCAAAGTCACTGAGATCTCTTCTTCTAGCCATGTTTAAAAAAAAAATATTGTGTAGTGGAGCTGCATAAGTGTTGCTCTCCACTTTCTGGATGATCGAGTTTTGAAATCAGTGGAATTAGAGTATGATAGCTAAAGAGATGGAGAAAAAAACCTGTCTCCGGATTACATCTTCAAACAAAGGGCAACCGTGGCATGGCATCCGAGGGAGACGCGTCCATCATGCATGATGATGTATGCGGGTAAGATAGTCTAGCTAGCTACATTTTCAGATATTACATGTTTCTAATGTTGACAGAAAGTGGTTTCAATTTAAGCTAAAGTGTACTGTTAGCTAGCGAGCTAACGTTAGCTGGCTGGCTCCCTAGCTAACGTTACGTGTATGATGTTATTATTTGTATCCCAGAACCATTTGCTTTGCTAGTTAGAGCCTAATGTTAGCTAGCTAACATTGAACCTGGTTGGTTAGATCCCAGCAGATTCATGCAGGGTAGTAACGACATGATTTGGCACTATGTTCATTGTTGTTTAACTAGCTAACGTTAGCTGGCTGGCTTGTTAGCTAACATTACATGACGTGCGTAATCTTACACGTTGTTTACCTAGCTAGCTTCATTGTTTACCTAGCTAGCTAGCTACATGTCTTAAGCTAAAGTGTACAACACCCCTTGAATATGGCCGGTGTCAGTAAACGTCGGCATAAAAGCGTAATGAAATTGTTGCCAGCAGAGCTGGTTAGGCTGTTTTCATGTTATCCAGAGGTAAACAAATCATCGGCCAGAGCGTCAAGTGTGCGCTCTGAACGATCCAAGAGCGAAACGAGATGGGTGGGGCTAAAGCTTAAGAGGGTGTGAACGATGCTGAATGGGTGTAGAGAAAGAAGAGCTCTTCACTAGATACCAAAACATTCAAATGCCATTTTCTCAAAAGTGAGTTTACAAGTTTATCAACTTTCAAAGCAGAATTACTTTCCCATTGTTCCTCAAGAATGCAGTGTATGATATACCATTTTGTAGCTCTGAGTCTCTACTTTTGTCCAATGGAAAAAATGGCATTTAAAATGTTGCTACATAAGACCAAATCCAGGTGGTGAGTCACATTTTGGTTTAGATACAAGCATCATAAAACCTCTAACACTAATTAATTTGACTTGGTCAAAATCTGTTTTTTGGACCTAACTTGCTTACTACTTTTTCTATGTGGTTTCTTCCTTCACAGAATCTATGAAATGATAACCCTTTCTTACATATTTAGTCAAATTATAAATATTGGGTATGGTTTCCTAGAAACAAGGTTGGGTCACTTTACCCCCTTGGCTCAGCTTACCCCTTTGGCTCAGTTTACCCCACTCTCCCCTATCATTAGGTCTATGAATAATTGTGAGTAATTGCTGATGATTTCCTATAGCTTAATTAATATTCGTTTGACTGAGATGGTTTATTATTACCAAAATTGGTGTTAAGTCATCATTACAAATATTTACACTCAGTCAGTCTTTAAATCCCAATCTATCGATAAACACCAGAGGTTGAGCCCATAGCTCGGTCTGTTACGCTCACGCCCACATTAAGTAAAACGTATAAATCGTGTCCTCTCTGCAGACAGGTTCATTTACAACCTCAGCGTTGAATACCTCAAACCGAAGAGAAAAACAGTGGTTGCGCTATCTATAAAAGGCATTGGAATGAACAGAATCATATCGGCGCTTTTATTTCTGCCTCTGGGCATAATATTTGTCTGCGAAGGAGGTAAGAACGTGATGGGACAGAAGTTATTAAACTTTGATGCAGTTAAAATGTGTTCGTTTGAACATATCACATTTGCAACGTGTTAATAAAATGTCTAAACATTTTATTGAATCTTCTAACCATTTTTCAATCAGCTATCGAAGCATTATGAGTTTCTTTTTCTTTTTAGGCTATATCAAAAGACATATATTTTGGATTTGATAGCCTATGCTATATTTGGATATATAGGCCTATCTATGTGAATGATTTGATGCAGTATGTAGGTCTATATGTACATAGAAATGATCAGATAATTACATGTTTTTGTGATCATAATTTATTACACTCAGTCTAATCTAACCAAAAATGTGTCTATGCAGGCAACCCTTGCTGTTCGCAGCCATGCCAGAACCGCGGCGTGTGTACGGCAATGGGCGCAAACGACTATGAGTGCGACTGCACACGGACTGGATTCTATGGCCACAACTGCACACAACGTAAGTTACATCCAATATATACTGATAGCTATATAACAATCAACATAAAAAAAACCTCCGTCTTTTCTCTCTAGACACTTAATTAATATGCTTTTATTTGGATTTGACAGCTGAATTTTTTACGTGGATTAAAGTGTCTCTGAAGCCGACCCCCAACACAGTGCATTACCTCCTCACCCACTACAAGGGGCTCTGGAATATCATCAACAGTATTTCATTCCTCAGGGATGCTATCATGAGATATGTTCTGACATGTGAGTTGAGTTCAATAATGTCATAGTCTTCATTAGATTTTCCCTCTTGCCATTTGATAATGTCAAAATTATAATATACAAAGACATCACTGTTTTAATTTTGAATTCATGTTAATCAATTGTGTTCTCTCTCTCTCTCTCTCTCTCTCTCTCTCTCCAGCTCGCTCTCATCTGATCGATAGTCCACCGACCTTCAATGCGGACTATGATTATAAAAGCTGGGAAGCCTACTCCAACCTGTCATACTACACACGCACACTCCCTCCTCTGCCCAAGGATTGCCCAACCCCTATGGGAGTCGTAGGTAAGCCCTCTCTCTGTCTCTCTCTCGCTCGCTCTCCAAACCTGTTCTCTCAGATAAAAAAAGAAGCTGGCTAACCTTCATGACATCATGCACATGCCTGACAGTCCTTTGTAGCGTAGAGTTTACTATGAGGCCAAATCACAACACATTCATACTCACTGAGCCCCACCGACATTCTTGTGGCATTCCCATGTAGTGATTGTAGCCTACTAATTGGAATGAGAAAGGAAGTTTCAACACAGAGATTTTGCAATGGCTGATATAGGGCAACACCTTTGATACTGTTACCTCACAGAGGCTTGCTTTTGGTTTGGTGGACATAGGATCAGGTTAGGTTGTCTCCATGCAAAATGTTCATTTGAAAGATCTAAAGAAAATCAAAAGAAATATAACTAAGTAATTGATAAGTAATTCTCATTTTTTTTTAAATATATATATTTTTTAAACACTGTCCAAGTAAAAGCTCAAATTGAAAGCGAGCGTCTTTAAATTGACACATGTTGTTTTTCTCCATGCAGGTAAGATGGAGCTACCTGATGCTAAGATGCTGGCTGAGAAGCTCCTGATCAGGAGGAAATTTATTCCCGACCCCCAGGGTTCCAGCCTGATGTTTGCCTTCTTCGCCCAACACTTCACCCACCAGTTCTTCAAATCTGACCAGAAGATGGGGCCGGCATTCACTAAAGCCAAGGGCCACGGGGTGGGTAGAGCATATACATGTATGCATAACTACACAGCACAACAACAACACACAACAGACATGCACTGAACAATACAACATGGTTTCACCCAGAGAGTGAGTTAACTGGAAGAAAGACGTACACGTATGTATGTATGTAGGCCTATGTGACTGATTTCAATGCTTGTTTTCCAGGTGGACCTTGGTCACATCTACGGTGAAAACCTTGAGAGGCAACACAAACTGCGGCTCTTCAAGGATGGCAAGCTGAAGTTTCAGGTACTGAACAGATCTTGTCAACCATAACTCACCTTGAAACAGATACTGTTTGTCACAGCTCCAGCTGATGGTCTCTTCTCTCACCTTTGCTTTCTATAGGTGCTGGATGGAGAGGTGTACCCACCTACGGTGAAAGAGGTAGGGGCTGATATGCACTACCCTCCGCATGTCCCTGAGTCTCACCGCTTCGCTGTGGGCCACGAGGCGTTCGGCCTGGTGCCTGGTCTCATGATGTACGCTACTATCTGGCTGAGGGAACACAACCGCGTTTGTGATGTCCTGAAGGAGGTCCACCCGGACTGGGATGATGATAGGCTCTTCCAGACATCGCGCCTCATTCTCATTGGTGAGTAGTCTAATCGAGCAGCATGTGAAAAAAGAGGTATAGGACTTGCCGCTCATTATTTTCTATTTATTTTAACCTTTATTTATCATATGGGACTCATGTGGTCAGATCCAGCCGATCTTACATAGTATCTGTATTGACATTGTGTATTTTAACTTGTGCCCATCAAATATTGTAGGTTAGCTCAATTTGCAAACAGTAGTTCTTTGTTTCTAAAATAGAGACATCTAGATCCAATATTTGATTCTATTGCGCGCTAATGAATTCATTTACAATAGTGCTCAGTGTTTTCACTTCCTCTGTATGGGTCAGACCACAGGGAGTTGTCTTCTCCTTCACATGAACTTCTCGATAGTGAAGTGTTAATGTCAGCTACCTAAAGTTGTCGGTCGGTCACTGTGTTAATATGCCTGATTTGTCAGCAGTTTAGTGGGGTTCAAAACAGGTGGTGAGAATTGAAAACACTCTGTGAGATATTATTTTAAAATGGACTTTATGGAGGTTTTTAATAACTTCTAACTGCTCTATCTTGTAAAGACAGACTAACTAATGGCCCCTCCCCTTCCTCCTTCCTGTAGGTGAGACCATCAAGATAGTGATTGAGGACTATGTACAACACCTGAGCGGCTACCACTTCAAGCTGAAGTTCGACCCGGAGCTTCTCTTCAAAGAGCGTTTCCAGTATCAGAACCGCATCGCGTCAGAGTTCAACACTCTGTACCACTGGCACCCCCTGATGCCCGACGCCTTCCACATACAGGAGCAGGTCTACTCATACCCGCAGTTTGTCTTCAACACCTCCGTGGTCACCACACACGGCATCTCCAACCTGGTGGAATCCTTCACCAAGCAGATCGCTGGACGGGTAAGAGACTCTCTCTGTGTGGGATTTAGGTTGTACGCTGTGGGATCTGAGTGGCTGCTTGAGGTGGCTGAAATATGGGTGAATGGTAATGTTGCATGTTATTGTGATTTTAAGCAAACTTAATCCAACTATTTTACCTCAGTGCTTACCCCTGAGGGAATGTCAGTAATTCAAAATAAAGAGAAACTCATTGTTTGAGGCTGATCGACTTACTTCCTGTCCCTCGTCCGTCCTCAGGTTGCTGGAGGTCATAACGTCCCCCCTGCAGTGCTGATGGTGGCTCTGAAGTCCATAGAGAACAGCAGACAGATGCGCTACCAGTCCCTCAACGCCTACAGGACACGCTTCTCCATGAAGCCATACGCCTCCTTCGAAGACCTCACAGGTGAGAGAACCACCATTAGCGTCACAGCTATAACGTAAACACCGATCACCCTTTAAGCATTGGGATTGAGTTAAATTATTATGTAGTGATGAATTTAGTGTAATTCACTTGTAACAATAGAAGGTGTAACATCCTGCTATCCTGTTTTCAAGGGATGGACAGGAAATCGTTCAAACCACTAAGACTGGTACTAAATAACTCTAATAACTAAAGGTGTCTCTAGCTGTCACTGATACTATGTCATAGTTTGCATTTTAGCTGTGACGTTTTTGAAAACTGTTTGAAATAGTAATAAAACTGACATGGGCAGATAGATCCTGTGGCTGTAAGTTGTATTGGAGCAAGCCTACAGCGGGGCAAACCGATGTGCACTTTAGTTCCTGAAAGGAGTTATTGAGTGCCAGGTCTAAACAAACAGGGGAGTGTTTGGGGGGTTGACAGGCTCTGCACTGCCTCACAGAAAGAGGAAGCTTTTTTTTAAATAAGAGTGTGAGAATTAACCAGAAGGGTGTGTGTGTGTGTGAGAGAGAAAGAGAAAGAGAGAGCGTGAGTGAGACTGTGTGAGAGAGTGACTCAGCCAGACTGAGTAACTAACGGAACATTTCCCTCTGTGTGTTTCTCAGGGGAAAAGGAGATGGCTGCAGAGCTGGAGGAGATGTATGGGCATGTGGATGCTGTGGAGCTCTACCCAGGTCTGCTGGTGGAGAAGCCCAGAACCAACGCCATCTTTGGGGAGACCATGGTGGAGATGGGAGCCCCCTACTCTCTGAAAGGCCTGATGGGAAACCCCATTTGCTCACCAGAGTACTGGAAGCCCAGCACCTTCGGCGGGAGCGTTGGCTTTGACATCATCAACACCGCGTCCTTACAGAGGCTGGTGTGCAGCAACGTCAAGGGCCCCTGCCCTGTGGCGTCCTTTCATGTGCCCGACGTAAAAGACAATGGATCCAATACCATCAATTCCAGTACAGCACATTCGGGGAGCAACGATGTCAACCCCACAGTACTTCTGAAAGAAAGGACCGCTGAGCTCTGATAAGACATCAGCTGAAATCGTTTCTGGAATTAAACTTAAATGTATTAACTTTTTATTTATTTATTGTAATATTTATTTAATTTATTGCATCCTGGAATCTTTATTGAGAAATGTTGTTGAGAAATGTTTTATACTGCCTCTGATTGTTTTGACATGACTTTTGAAAGTTCAAAGAAAACCAATCCTTTTAGTTGTATTTATTCTAAGAGCTGATTTAAAGATGGAATCCGCAGCAGGGGGAAACAGTGCTACTGGCTACCACGTTGTTATGCTTTTTGTTGCAGAGGAGCATGGTAAGAAAAATTGCTGTACATATTGGGCTGTTCTATCGCGTGTGCAATGATGTCCGAGTGGGGGGGGGGAAAGGGTTTGTTGTTTGCAGAAATGTCTTTGTCGTTGTAATATCGCGAATGGACGTGGCTGTTTCACCATTAAGGATTCCAGCTTTAATAAATTATGTTCTGTTATTGACCTCAGAAAATAGTAATGTAATGTAATTTTACTTTATTTAAAACTGATACTTGAATTTAACACATTTTAGTTTACAACCTGATACGTAACTGCATGTTACATTCCACCTAACTTAGCTGTTTTCTCCTAGGTGCAAGGGAAAATATAGCAGGTAAAATACTGTACCTAAAGCAGCTACAAGTCATTGGACTGTGATATTGTAACCCTTAAAGTATTTTCTTCGTGTTTTGTTAAAATACTTGAGCTGACTCCTTGTTGTTTTAATAAAACACTGTCTATAATGAAATACAAACATGACTCCCTCATCTTTCCACATTTACATAATGACCCTGCAGCACTATTCACATTCAGTCCTCTTGCAGCATTACTGTGATATCCTCTTTATTCTCTGCTGACTCAAGTCTTGTTGTTTAAGAGGGAACTGTGCACTGCAGTGGAGGCTGCTGAGGGGAGGACTGCTCATAATGGCTGGAGCGGCGCGAGTGGAATGGCATCAAACCACGTGTTTGATACTATTCCGCTCCAGCCATCACCACGAGCCCGTCCTCCCCACTTAAGGTAACCTCTTGTGGTGTACGGTGTACTCTGTTTAGGGCCAAATAGCATTCCAGTTTGCTCTGTTTTGGGGTTAATTCTTTTCAATGTGTCAAGTAATGATATTTTTGTTTTCTCATGATTTGTTTGGGTGTAATTGTGTTGCTGTCCTGGGGCTCTGTGGGGTCTGTTTGTGCTTGCTCTCTCTCTCTCTCCATTTTTGTTCTCCATATCTGCGGCAGAAGTTTCTTACATTGGGACACGCACACAAACACTGTCTTGTACAACTAACCTTGTGGGGACACAATTCAGTCCCATTCAAAATCCTATTTTCCCGAACCTTAAACCTAACCCGTACCTTAACCTAAAAACCTAACCCTAGCTCCTAACCCTAAACCTAACTCTAGCTCCTAAACCTAACTCTAGCTCCTAACCCTAAACCTAGCTATTAAAACTAACCCTAGCTCCTAAACCTAACCATAAACCTAACCCTAAACCTAACTAGCTCCTAAACCTAACCCTAGCTCCTAACCCTAACCCTTGTTACGTATACACGGGGAGTCAGGAAGCAGGTGCAGAAGGACAGTTGAATAATGAATAAATGCAGATCAACAAAACGAGAAGCGTACAGAACGTGAATCAAAATAATATGGTGACAGGCTACTGAGGGCTAAATAAAGGGAAGGTCATCAAGGTGATGAAGTCCAGGAGTGTGTAATGATGAAGTCCAGGAGTGTGTAATGATGAAGTCCAGGAGTGTGTAATGATGAAGTCCAGGAGTGTGTAATGATGAAGTCCAGGAGTGTGTAATGATGAAGTCCAGGAGTGCGTAATGATGGGGAGCAGGTGTGTGTAATAATGGTTGCCAGGACCAGGGGTTAGTAGCCCGGCGACATCCACCACTGGAGAGGGGGAGCGGGAGTAGGCGTGACAACCCTAAACCTAATTCTAAACCTAATTCTAACCCTAACACTAATTATAACCTTAACCCTAAACCCCCTAGAATTAGCATTTGACCTTGTGGGGACTAACAAAATGTCCCCAGTTGGTCAAATCTGGTCCCCACAAGTATAGTTACACACACACACACACACACACACACACACACACACACACACACACACACACACACACACACACACACACACACAATGACAGACAGATCCAGGCATATTTCCCACAGTGCTGCAGAGATTTATCTAACGTTGCACTGCTCTGTAACTGGATCCCTGAGCTCCTCCCTCCCTCCCCCTATTCACCTGGTGAGTTTCCACATGTCCTACCTACGGAGCTGGGAATATGGCACAGTACGCTCCGGACAACTACAGAGAGAGTGGGAGAGAGATTCCGGTCAAGCGTCTTCATTACAATGGATCAAAGCCTGCAGACAAAGTTAATAGCGTAAATCCCACTGGAAAGTGTTCCAGTTGTCAGGATGCAAGGACCACTACATGTTACTGTGCAGAGACAATCGTCCATGCTCAGGCTAGATATGGTGATGGTTTTGTAGATAGTATAACTCTGTTGAGGGTTATAGTATGCCATAAAACAATGATGACCAAATGGGCTCAATGACCCGGTCTCTTCATTCTGTAATGTTCCGTATAAAGTAGCAATATAGTGTGAAGCCAATGATGAGCCCAACCCTGAAGTAACACACATAACATGACCGAGAGGCCAAGTCACCCAGCAGCAGTGTCACTGCATTAATCACTGTATTCATCTTTGGTCCTACGTCCTAAAGAAAAACATGGCTATTAGTCCAAGCTGTCTCCGCTGTCTCTTCACTTTTTCATAAAAATTAGTCCCAACAAACACAAGCACGCCAGGGAAGATGGCGCACGCACGCACACACACACACACACGAACAAACGCGCACACGCTCACACGTGCACACGCACACACGCACACACACACACAGGTACACACACACACACAAAGAGTCATGTGCATCAGTTGTCATCCCATCCTAAAGCTGTCCGGCCCCCTCATAATCTATAGTCCTCCCTAACTTCAAAGAGCTGGGCGTAGGACGGTCTGTCACATGTCGTTTCACTTGGCCCATCACCGCAGGAAAATGACCTGATTGCGCGTGCAACATGATTCGTTTTCCCCTTTCCGAGTGGCCTGGGGGTGAGGCTGTTGCAGAGGGCCTACGTGGCCCAAGATATGAGCTCTGAGAGGAGCGAGCGGGGGAACACGTCTTCCATTGTGTGTGTGTAATGAGCGTGAGTGAGTGGGTCGTGAGCAGTGGTGTGGGAGAGTATCAGGGAGATAGACCTGTGTGTTTTCCCTCTGACCACTCCTCGCATCCTCCTCCGCTGGCCCGGGCCCCGGTGTGAACGCGAACGCAGTGCTCTGGGGAAAGTGTTATGTGCTGGTTCTCTGGTGGAGGGGAGCCACCGGAAGCAGCCCTGGCCACCGGATAGGCTACCGGGAACTGGACGCCTCCACCACAGACTTATATAATGATGGCCTCCACACACACGAGGACTTGGCAGGGAGATGGCACTGCTGATTGGCATAAATGTTACTGAAGTTCAACAGCCGGTCATGTCATCTAGATGCAAAACATAAACACACCAGCAAAGCACACATGATAAGGTGACAGTTTCTGACTGTCAAATCAGTTTAGTTTGTTGTTAAAATTACAGCTTTTTGTGCAGTGTGTTGTTGTTAGATGTGTGAATGTATGTATGTCGGGGGGATATGAGAGTATCTTCACATACTGTATGCGTGAACTCTTTGAATGGGTGTGTGTCCGTATCATACGTTTATGGTGTGAGTCCAGAGTTTGTGTGTGTATGTGTATGCATGCATGCGTCTCCATGTCTCGGGCATGTGTTTATGTGTTTGTTTTGAATGCGTGCTGTAGCTGTGTGCCCACTTGGCACAAACTGGTTGAATCAACGTTGTTTCAAGGTAATTTATCACTGTATTGTGACATGGAATCTAAGTGGAAAATACATTGGATTTGAAAAACGTAAACTGTTGTTTTGAGGATAACATTTCGACCACAGGATTATGTCATCATGGTAACCAAATTTCAACATAGAAAAACCTTGTATAAAATGTTTAATTCGTACCTTTACAGTTTTTTCCAACTGCTTACACACAAAATCTTTTCATGTCACACGATTTTTGAAACCTCTCACTCAAAGTGCAAAACTACACACCAAATCTCCAAAACCATAAGCTATTTCTCAGCCTTTGACTCAGTTGTCAATTGCATAAAACACTTTTTTCAAAACACTACACACAATTCTCTACCTAAAACACAAAAATCTAACAGGAAGTGACTTGCTTTCCTTTTCCAAACACAACCAATCAAAATGCTACACTTATTCACCAGGTCACACACACACTCCTCACATGTGCAAACACTAATTGCTTAACTGATCACTAACCAATCACTGCTTTACTGTAGTATAGGCCTATAAATAGGTCAAAGGTCAGATTGCCTGTTTTGAACAATGGATGCCAGCAATGGACAGAGAGCAAGCGGAGTAGGAAGGAGAGGCAGGGGACAACAACGAGGACAAATTCAAAGACGAAGAGTTGGAAGAGGAGGAAGAGGAAGAGGAGGAGGAGGAGGAGGAGGAGGAGGAGGAGGAGGAGGAAGAGGAGGGCAAAGAAGAGAAGGAAGGAGAGCCATCTCTGATGAGATTAGGGCAACACTTGTTGATCATGTGATCAACCACAGTTTGAACATGAGAGAGGCTGGACTGAGAGTCCAGCCCAACTTGAGTCAATTTACAGTGGCGTCCATAATTCGAACCTTCAGAAAATTGAACAGGTATGCAACTATCTAATGACTATTTTATCATTACAGTAATGTACTGTAAAATACGTATGACTGCATAGTATTGCATAAACATTTGTAACTCTAAGCCATCCATTTACTGCACTACATTGAATGAATGAGGTTGGTTATCATGCTGTATTACATTTTGTTGTACATTGTTTACAGTTCCTAAGCTGAACACATACTGTGT